ATCTTGCTCCGCCAAACTTTTAAGGAGTACATCCACTACTGAAGACCACAACAAGGATGATAGTACTGCACCTTGCGGGCAACCTTTCACCGATCTAATAGCTAGTTGCGCTCAGCAGAAATTTCACGATATGTTAGCATCGCCATTATCCATTCAATAATGCAGTTATCCAAGCCATTTGCTTCCATAGCTGATCCCATTGAGTTGTAAGATACATTGTCGAATTATCCTTGAATATCAAGGAAAGCAACCACGCATATTTCTAATGGATGGCGATTAAGCCATGTCAGATAATCATAGCTTTATTGCAACTACGACTACAGGGTAGCTGAGTAAAGCGGTCCCCTTGGTTTGAACTGTCAAACATTTGTAAACAAACCCGAGCCCGTATCTGCTTCTTAACGTAAGTGTCAAGACGTTCCCCTGGGAAATAGTCAGCGTGATAAAAGTTTTGTAATATGGTGATATTACACAAATATGGACTGGGAATCGAAGCGTTTTCAAGCTGCTTAAGACACAGAAGTCGGTCAGTGAGATAACAAAGCTGCTTAGTGAGAATCGAAAGTTTTTTTGGCGTTTCAAAAAACGATTGGAGGATGGAAGTGGAGCATCAAGAAGACCTGGGTCAGGGAGACCCCGTTTTGTTCGGACACGGGCATTGATGAAGGCCGTGGCCAACAAAATTCGTGGGAATCCGGTAAGGTTTATGAATCAAATGGCCAAAGACTATCAGGTGTCGTGTATGACGATGCAAAACGTGGTTAAAAAGGATCTTGGCCTCTATCCTTCTAAACTGCAACAACGTCAACTTCTCTCAGAAGCAGCAAAGAAGAAGCGGCTGGAAAAAGCAAAGTCCTGAAGATTATTGTTTTATTTGGATGAGAAGCTACTTGACTTCGGCAAATTTAACCGTCAAAATGACTGAGTGCATCGGAGTTTGGCTGATCTCAACAACAAATTCGTCTACAGAGTGCAAAAACCAGATTCGGTGATGATTTGGGCAGCAGTTGCATCGAATGGGAAGAAATCTACTGTTTTTCGCATTCCGGATGGGGTAAAAAATAGGGAAAATAGCTCTAATGTTGGCCTATGGATCTAAGATTGGGCCCATCGCAAAAAATCTGCTATTTATCAACTTTATCTAGATGAACGCGTCATTAGGACAGTACTTATGTATATTTTTGGTCACTTCTGAAAATTTGGTCGATTGCTGAATTTATTTATGGACACAAATTAGGGGCATTTAGGCCGACATTGCATTCATTTCCCCTATATCTGAACTTTTTTCAACATGTGGGTCCAGTCGGAGTTCACAGGCACAGAAATTTTCTTCACCCAAGATTCTGCACCTGCCCACGCAGCCGAACGCGTTCAAGTGTGGTGTCAACAGAACTTCGATCATTTTTGGTTGGAAATATGGCCTCCGGATATTAACCCGCTAGATTTCGCGATGTGGGGCATCGTAGAAAGGGCGACTAATGCTAAGCCAAGAAGCAATAAGTACGCTCTTATGGTAGCTATGCAACAGGGACGATGTTTCTGAAGAAATCGTGCGAGCCAGGTGCTCCAGTGTTGCTGATCGTTTGACGAAGATTATTCGAGCAAAAGGCTCCCATTTTCAATTAGCTGATGCTGAATTAATCTACACTGATTCTCGAATATTATGATCAATTTTCGTAAAACTTACTTTTGGAATAAATGACAAGTAGTACAAGTAGCTTAAATACAAGTCGTTCTAAGGAAGATTTGTCAAGCATCATTTCCCCAGATTCAAGCATATTTTCTTGATTTATATTTTATTGTTCACATTACCAGTACTATGATAGGTGTATTTTTGGATTACGGCCATTTGACAGAAGGACATTAGGCCGACATTTTGAGATTTCAAACTCCAAGCTTACTGGAATTTTACGAACCTTTTTTTTTTCAATATCCATAAATATTTACATTGCTAATTTACAAAATGATGCATTGTGTAACAACTGAAATTGTGTATTTGACATAGTTTCTTTGAAATATGAGTTATTCGTTGGTTTAGCCTTGGTATTGTTCAACAGCAAGAGTGGGAATAGAAGCTTCTCTTCATGGCTCTTACAAGATGTCGAAACGACGAGGTTAATAAGTTTAGGATATTTTTCCATCTTATACAGTCTACTGTCCATTTCTCGATAGAGACAGATCGACATTCAGAACAGTAATTTATGAGACCGTCCACAATGCTGAGTTAAAAATTGTTTCAAACTACTCGACACCCAAGTAACAATTTAACAGCCTTTTGGCTTTCATTCTGATTTATTGTGGTTTTATAACGGCAATAAGCAATCCTTTTAGTTTATATACAGCTATTAAAAGTGCGAAACATTATTAAATAGTAGTTCAGTTTTATGCTGTTAAAAAAAAAACCTTTTAAAGCCCAACGAGAAAATCAGAAAATGTATGGTTTTAAAAATGAATTTAATGCAGCACTCTATCCCTTCATAAAACTGTTCAGTAAATCAATCGGGATTTGATTTATTGATGGCACAAAAAAATACTCCATAAAGGTGTTTTATCATTATAAAAGCAATTATAAAACCGTTCGGTTTTAAACGGGATCAAAAAGCATATATTGATGCGTTTTGGTGTAAGTGAAGTGTATCACAAAACCTCCCACTGTTTACAAATAAAACTTAAAAGATGGATCCGCCTAGAGATAGAGAAAAACATAATCGAGTGGGGCTTTCAAATGCAGAATCACAAGGAAATGCCAAAAGATAATCGAGTAATAATTCTAGCAATGCTTTTCAAAGGAAGAGAAAAGGAATCCAATCTCAGAACTTTCTGGGAGGTCTCGCAGCTCCTACAAAATCGGTCAACAACAACAGAGCAGCCGAATGCGGTTTACGAAGCACAGGAAGCCGTCAAATTAGACGCTTAAAATTGATGGGAATACACAGTATATTGTAAATTGCAGCCTGCTCCAGAAATAACGCTGAGATGATGATCCGAATAGCATCAGTGCCAAACTAGGACTGCGACAAACTGCTGACGGGAAACTTAAGAAACTGTCCGTCAGCTGGAAATTGGCTACCTTCCGCACCATAGCAACGATTTCATTCGGCGAAAGGGTTAACTGTTGTAAAAATTCCAAGCTCGCATAAACTTCATCGCTTCATCCGGAAGAAGGAAAACTTTTCAGGAACGATTGAGCTTCCACCTGTTCCAAGTTACGTAAATTAACTTCCTGAGTAACTGCTTCCAATATATGAATTGCCCTTATCAAGGATGTCACGCAACTTGTTGATCCAACCCTGGAGTAGAACATTGTAGCAATGATTGCACAACAAAACTATCGAAAGATTATCAAATTTTGACGTTTAACTTTTTCCAGGCAACTTTGCCACCATTAATGGCTTCAGATAAAAACAATTCAGTCTGCAAAATATCTTCATAAAAGCCACATTAAAATGTTTTGCATTTGTTAGCGATTGCATGAAAGCAAAACAGCTTTTTCACAAATGACCTATGAAAAATCAATGTTTATGCTATGCTATAGTAGCCTCACAGACAAACAGACGTAACACTTTGAAAAACTTGTTCTTGAAAACATAGTATCTCAAAACATATAACCTCAGTAACGACATCTATCTGGCTTCTCGCGGGAAACAAGCTTGCTCGCTAACTCGTAAACAATATTGCATAAAATTTCTATAGAATATATAGAAACGTCAAAGTGATCCGATGCCAGCGCTGCGGCGAGTAGTTCACGGAACTGATAATATTCAAATCAACCGTTAAATGCATGAACGAAGATACACAATGAAGAGTTACGTCTGTTTGTCTGTGGTAGCCTTGTAGTCAGGCATGGAAAATCATTTGCATTCATTTCGTGCATTCATTTACATTCATTTGCCCCTTACTTTTTTCATCAACATCATCTGCAAAATGATGTACGTAGCTTTGGTAGGTTTTGTTATTAGCTACAAGTTTTGTTAACAAGTCAAATCCGTATCTCTGATGCCTGATGAACCAGAGTGAATAGCAAAACCTACAAAAGCTCTATACATCATTTTGCGGAATGCTGTTGATGAAAAAAGTTAGAGGCAAATGAATGTAAATGAATGTGTGAAATGAATGTAAATGGTTTTCCATGCCTGCTTGTAGTACTTCATGGGCAGTTTTAAAACTTGAAACTGTCCAAAATGAAAGTGCAACACGATCAGCACAACGCATACTTTTAAATCGTATTTGGTATTCAGGTGTTTGAAACATGCCTCAAATGAAAGAGGAGCACCTAAAATTTCGTGTGTTGGGTGTTTCATTGATAGGGTTAACTACCCCATTTCCGGCCTATTAAGCACAACCCGCATTTATTCTTTCTTAATCTAGCGCAGTTTAGCACCAAACGGAATGTTATTATTACTGAAAGCTTCCAAATTTATTAAACTTTTAATATGTACCGTAAGATTTGATAAAGAGAAACCAATCGTTGAGATATTATCAAAAGTCTAACACTGCTTCTTGACGCCAAACTCGGCCTACGGATTCTAAACTCGGCCTAACGCATTGAAACGCCATTGAAACGCCAATGAATTCACTTCGGCCTATCGGATGATGATAAAAATTGATTCGGTCGGAGCGCTTCTTTTGTTTTTGGGAATTATGGGTTCTCATTGACTTAGTTCCGCAGCTTATTAACTAAAGTATCGTACCAAACGCATAATTGACTTATTAATTCTGAAATCATGGTTATATTTTAAGTTTTCTGCTCGATAGGCCCAAAATGGGCGATTAGCCCGAAGTAGTTCTCTACCCTACTATTTTTTTTCAATGTTAATGTTGTTTTGCCAGAGAAACCGTCAATCAAGCTACATCTGAGAATTTTTCGCCAGAGATATTACCAAAAGTCCATGAAATTACAACCTATAGGCAAATTAAGATTCGATCCACACCACCAAAAGACAGCTTCACTAACTCATTAATACCCTCCCTCCCAACCAACACAAAACTAATCTGTTTAGTCAATCCAATGAATTCAACGGAATCAGCCCATCACCACCATCACCAACAACAAAAACACCACCACCACCAGCAGCAGCAACAACAACATCATCATCAACAGCAGCAGGTTCAACAGCATCACCACCAGCAACAACAACAACAGCAGCATCAACAACAACAACTACAACAACAACAGACCAACGCCGCCGTCACAAAGCACGTCAGTGCCCCGATCGACAAACCACTATCGGCTACCAACGGTCTTCCGGCTGGTCAGAACATTTGCTCCGCTTGTGATCGTCTCATTGTGTAAGTGTGCAAACAAGCCTATACGGAAGGACCTCCAAAATCTGGCGTACACGTCTCTGTGTGTGTGTATGTGTGTGTGTCTTCGAGAGCGATGAATGAAAGTGTCAAGATATTTCCTATTTTCAGCTAGCTTTACAGACACGACTAATCTCCGAAACAGCGCTGCCGCTACCGTAATGTGTGATTTCGTTTCCGATATCTTCGACTTCAATGCCACCATCGATCGTCGAGTAATGAACTTTCTCTAATTGCAGCACCCAGTTGTAAATAATGATCTTCCACGTGTCGTTCTAATCGTGTTCATTGTTCTCTTCTCCCCCTACCACCTCTTCACGCGCCGTTTGCCATTGGTCATACCTGTGTAAATATGACATATGGGTTTTGTTGTGTATAAAATCAAAATATTTTCTAAACCAAAACTTTTGCTCTGCACCAAATTGTGTGAAAATCAAAACAAAAACCAAAACTAGTGCGGAAATTAGATGACACCTTCTCAAACAAATCTCATTATTCAATCCACAAATTGGAATCAGCTTCTTCGCACTTCTATGCGACCCAAAGTCACGCGATCGGTGGCTATGCCACTGCGGGCCGTCTACCGGTAGGTCCCCTGACTAAACCCAGGTCGCCCGTTCCGCCACAAATGCACCATCCGCACCCGCAGCCGCAGACGCAGCCCCAGCAGCTTCAACACCCGCTGCCGAAACCACCGATGATGGCATCCCCGATGGCGGCCCCTGCTCCAGCACCGACCTCCGCACCAGCTCCCGCTCCAGTTCGACCAGCTCCGCAGACTGCCCCGAGGAGCGGCATTCCACCAAGGACTCATCCAGAGTAAGATTACTAGCAGGACATTCCGTTTTTTCTTTTTTCGAATCGCCTTGGGCCATCCCAAAGCTCGCCATTCACAGAGAGGAGTTGTATATTATTTTTTTCATGATCCGATATTGTTTACTGATTTATTATCCACTGAATTGCATGCGTGTGCCTGTGCTAAATGAATGTTCGAGAGAGAGAGAGAAAGAATCTACTCCAATTTTGGACGGTTACTTCAAAATCCCTGCCAAATGTTAGCTGCATGAGTTTAATGATTCGTTTTGTTATATTTTCTGATTCCCGTACGAAAAAAAAAATATGCAAATGTTGTGTTGAATTTGTTCCTATCTGTGACACACTTCGAAAAACATGAAAACGAATTCAACACTATCAATCGAACGAACATCGACCATCACGTTCCACAACCACCACCACCCACCACCCCCAACAACAACAACACCACCCACACACCGACCACAGTGGCGTGTTCGTGCGCATCAAGGACAAGAACCTCCACTCCGATTGCTTCAAGTGCGCCACCTGTGGATCGTCGCTCAAGAACCAGGGATATTTCAACCTGAACGACAAGTTGTACTGCGACATCCACGCCCGGTTGGCGGCTCTCCAGAGCCCACCACCCGGCACCAACGGAATGGTCCCGATCACGATCACCAAACCGTACGTATGAATGATGCCTCTGGCACTCGCTCTCCTCTCTCTAGGGAATAGAAGGGGATCCATCCCTGAATAATGCATTCTTGCATGGAGCACATCTGCCTGCCGCCCGTACATCGCACTACTCTCCAAAAAAAAAACCCATCACAATCTTCTGAGCCGTGCTCTCTTCTATACCTTCTGACTGTTTACACACTGTTCTATTGTTCTTTCTCTTGCTTCTCTGTCTTTCTTTCGTTTTCTTCTTTTTATCTTTCTTTTCATACTGGCTTCCTTCCATCAGCGTACCTTGCGAAACCGTTCTAATAGACAACTACATGCTATCAGTAGTGTAGAAAGCTCATGGAACTGAGTGTGTAGAACAGTGATAGTGTTGTTGTGTTTTTTTAGTGATAGTGATCGAGACTCGACCAACAACAAAAAAAAAAAACCGTGTGATGAAAACGATTCTAGTCGCTTAAGTAGGATTTAGGTTGCATAAAGGTGACAAAGTATTACGAAAGGTGGTGCTATTTATCACTTTTCACCTGTAGATATAAATTAAGTACCACGAAGCATCGATTCCGATATCGATGGTTGTAATTTTGAAGAAGAGTAAGTGCATTCTCGGAAGTTGAGTTGTTAGTTTGATTGTTTTTCATTCATGGAGATGATTTCATGAATCGTCATCCATTTGTTCATGATGTTTCATTTCTGCTCATTTAGTTTTCCGTATCAATTCTTCATTAACGTTGCGTTGTTTGATCATACAATCCATTTAATGATGTTACTTATGTGCCAAACATTTCTCTTAAAAAGATTTGTTTTACAAATCGACATGTTAACAGACTGTTGCTCATAGCCAATACTTAAAATTATTCAAACATTGATTTGAGTCACGGCAACTAAAAAAAATCGGACATAGCCAACCATGTCAAATACTTCTGCCAATACTTGATATCTTCTCAAATCTAGTTACCAATTTGGAAAGGCAAAAATCTCTTAGCCACTGTCGAATTTATCGAAATAGTTTGCTCCATACCCAAACTGAGCACTATTGAATGGGTCAAATTCAAAAGTTATGCAAATTATTGTAAATTTGATCTAAGGATCGACTCAAAAATAAGCAACGGTTTCAAATTTCCCAGCCTTTTTCGGATACACGAGAATCGGACAACAGCTGTAGCTCTTCCCAGTAATTGTTGGAATTCAGAAAATCCTCTAATCCTGTAACCGGATTGAGGACCATATAAGATCATGATTGTTTAAACAGCAAAGTTTTAACTAACTAACCTCTCCAGGAGACTCTTTAAAAATCCAAACAGAAATTCCTCCCGAAAGATTTTGCAAGTCCAAAAGTATCTCTGACCTCACCCGTAGGGTTCTTTCACCTTTTCCCGGAGGATTTTTCGATCAAGTTATTTTCCAAGAACAGTCAACTCTCTACAACTCGATGATTTCTATAACTATGCCGTCCCATGCATCGTTCTCTCCATGAGTCGATATTTCCACAAGTCTATGTCTCCTTTGGTCGATGATCTATGTAGTGATTCTATAACTCGACATGTCAAAGGTAGAGCTTCTGAATTACTTGATGTTGATCAAAGAAACTGTAAAGACATGATAACTGATGATCATATTGAGTACCCAGGACCCATAGACCACATCAGAACATATTCCTGGTGTTTCGGAGAAATGGTGCGTAGCATTAATTTATGCCAGGACCTATATATATCAAAAAAGGCGGATGCTGGGTTGTTAGACCTAAAGTCAGTTGGCCGAATGGACATTAGGCTGAACGACCATTAGGCGACGAAAACATGCTGGTTAGATTCTTATAGGAATTTAATGCATTGTGTTATAGAAATATTTAATTTTCCTCGTTATTTTCTTTCTTTCAATGAACGTACAAAATAAATTTTAAAAGTTCATTGGTTTGAATTGATTTTTTTCAGGTTCTTATATATGAATATTTTTCACAAATTTGAAATTTTATCACTTTTTTAAAACTGCTGTTCCTTTTTTCCTACACAGTTCAAAAAAGTAGTGTAAATTTCTGTTTAGTATGATGCACATAAATGGAGCGTCACATATCATATAAGTTTACATTATATATCATGTAAAGTTCTGAGACATTTCATGCAATGTAGCAAATATTGCATACAAAAGCCCATTGTTGTAAATAACATTGTTTACAAGTTGCTCGGTTGCGTGAAATGAAATACAAGTTTACGTGAATGAATGTTTACATCGCTATTAAAATTCAGAATTTTTATCTGTGTAGGTATTTTCCAAGCTTACAGATTTGAAAAACATCAAGATTAAGGACGTTGCATAATTTGTAGGCTCATGAAATTGTATGGTAATTTCTAAAGAAGTAAATCCAAAAGAGTTCTGGGAAGAACTGTGAGGAAAACATCAAGTGCAATCTGCTTTCAATGTAGTCCTGAGTAACTCCAGATTCTATGTGAAATCTGAATACTAAGGAAGTTTTGAGTAAAATTCCAAGTAAACTCTGAACAGAATACAAAAAAAAAATGTCAATGAAAACCAATACGAATGTCTGAAGTTAATTCACAAGGAATTCTGGAGAGGACTCCAAGGGAACTCGAAGAAGAATTCCGATGGAATTCTAAGGTTTATTTCAAGAAGATTCAGGGAGAAAAAGATTATAGACTGTATTCGAAAAAAATTTGAACACACAAAATACAGCTTTCCCCCGAAAAACGCGTTACCCACTGAGTTCTACCCACCGCTTTGTCTCGGTGGGTTTTTAACCATGCGCTCTGATGTTCTGCGAGTGACTAGTTCTCCATTGGCTCTACTAATATGCAAAAAAAAATCAGACCGACTGGTTGAAATCCTGCCGAGAAAAAGCGGTGGGTGCAACTCAGTGGGTGACGCGTTCTACGGGGGATAGCTAAAGGTCGTAAATTTTTTTCTTAAGTCCTATTCTCTTCAAACTTTCTGGAAATGAAGTACTATTTACTATATGGTTATGTTTGGCCATAATTGCTTTATTGAACCTCCTCTCCCAACCCAAACGCCCGCACCTTTGCCTTGATCCCTTTCATCTAGTTTTGGACAATAATAAGGCCGACTTCTAAATAGAAACTTTCTTTTTTTTATAAATGCGTTTATTTTTCCAGGCTCATTTGCCATAGCTTTGCGGAGCCGATATTCATTGTTTAGGTTACAAAATTTCTTAAAACTAACGTTAGTAAAGCGGGGGCCGATTACTCGCGGCTATCTCGAGGTTAGGGGTAACAAATTGTAACAAATGGATGGCAGGGTAGGGATTGAGAACACAAGGTTTGGAGAGCAATGTGCTCTTGATCTCGAACTAAGCGACCAACTGACGGAAAAGACAAACATGGGGGTACACCGATGGGCATCTGACAACTTGGGGGAACACAAGATGACACTAACTACTAAATCCTCAGATCTATCCGTTTTAAAAACACATAAATTAAATTGCAATAGTCGAGATCTCGGCTCGCCAAGATGTCTCTAACGGGCCGCATAGATTGTTTTTCTCGGGCCCTGAGGGATGCGGATAACTCGGATCTAGCAACACAATGGAGGGTGCATGACCAAAGCACGTGGTCGATATCGTGATAGCCACTACCACAAGCGCACAAATTGCTGCCTACGAGCCCGATTCGGAAGAAATGCGAGTCTAACGAGTAGTGATTAGACATGAGCCTTGACATGACACGTATAAAGTCACGGCTCATGTCCAATCCTTTGAACCATGGCTTGTTCGATACCTGTGGGAGAATAGAATGTAACCATCTTCCCAGATCACTCTCATTCCATTTTTGTTGCCAAAATAGAAACTTTCAACCACACTTTCTTTAAATCGAGTTAATTTTCATTCACTTTTGGGGTTTTACGGAGGTTTGCCAATGGCACAAAATTTCTCGATAGGGCGAAGTTCCGGAGTGTTTGGAGGGTTGACCTCATTTGGTACAAAAACAATATTATTGATTTTGTATCAATCTGGCCCGTCTTAGGCATAGTGGCAAGACGCCAAATCCGGTCAAAACAGTGTCGGGCCTTCGTGAGACCTCAAGAAGGGCAGAAGTCGCTTTTGGAGGCATTCGTCCTTGTAGATGGGGACTGTGGCTGACTCATTTAGTCACATCCGCAGATCCGCTTTTTCTTGATCCAAAGCCATCACTGTAACCACTCAACGGATTTTGATGCAACTCTGCCGATGTATAGTAGTGTAAAATTACTTTTAGTTTATGAAGAGCTTTGAGTGGGTTGGTTTATTTCCTTGAAATTCAGTGGTTCAGTGGTGTTGAGTACTTGGCACTGATGAAGTCTGCAAGTAGTAGACGAAATACGCGTATCTGTCAAAAGATAAGCAATTATAAGGGAATTTGAAGGAAATAAACCAACCCACTCAAAGCTCTTCATAAAGGGATTCCGTTAAGAGGTTCGACAAATTTAAAGGATACTTTTAGTTAAAAATTCAGCCACTTTTATTCACACGCTAAAAAGTTGCACATAATGGATAAGATTTTAAAAGAAGTCCAAAAAATTTTCAAAGTAACTTGCAAAAGAATTCCAGGAAGCTTCTGACTTGAATGCCAAATATTTTTTTAATTTTAATTTATGGAATTCATTACTTCACTGCAAATTAATTCTTATGAAACATTCAAAGTGAGTAGAATTCCAAGAGAAGGAGTAAAACTCATAGGGCATTCTGCAATGAATTCAAAGAAAATTCTGAAAACAATTGCAACAAATTTTCTTACTGAGGAGCACTTCAAGGTAATTCCAAGGAAAATTTCGTGGAAATTGAATTCTGAGGATGATTTTGAACGAAATTTTACGGAAATCATAATCATGTTCCGGTGATAATTTTTAGGGAATTCAAAGGATTGTTCCAAGGGAATTGTGAGGAGCATTTAAAAGAATTTATGGTAGTCATGAGCAGAATTAAAATTGAACTCCTTGAAAAATTCCATAGGTGAATGCTGAGGAGAACTCAAAGTTTATTTTTCGAAGAAATT